TTGACTCATTGAACAACCTTAACTTGAAACTGCAGGGTGGAGAATCAAATATAGTTATTCATCGTGATGCCATCAAGATGTACATTGAGAAATTGCAGCTTTGGAGACGAAAAATATCAGCAAACCCCTACAATTATTCAAATTTTGCCAAAATAATGTCAATCTCAGATGAGCCACAGTTCAAGGAGGTTTTTGAAGGATCCCAAATGAAAAGCCTAATATTAAACCATTTGGAGAACCTCACTGAATAGAAAACAACATTCATGGTATTAACAAAGGGAAAAATAATATGGAAAGTCTTAAAATAATTGCAGAAGGGACATAATACTATTTTGAAGAACTGAGCAGGTTCAACTATCTTGGAGTAAAAATAAACGATATTGACAGAGAAGAAGATGAAATACCAGAAAGAATAGAGAGAAGGTATGGGAGGACTGTTCAATATCTTGAAATCGAAAACTATGAGTATCTCAAGAAATATAAAGTAAAAATCACAAATCAATAATAAAGCCAATGATAATTTACGATAATTATATATCCTTTTTTTCAATGAAGATGTCTGTGTCTTTTTTTGTAGTGTAGTTGTTGTTCACGGACATCTAACATCACACATTGTATATATAAACAATAATTTTCAGGTTTCACTAATTTGCCATAGAATAGAAAAATTTTCGCGTAGACAGCCAATGGTTTTACGAAAGATGGTGTGAAGTCATATCCGAATCTTTTTTGTTCTTTTCGCAAACTCTCGAAATTGCTTCACAAAAAACGAAAAATCCGTATCCTCAAATCTTCTACAGGTTTTATTCACCATAAGAACACTAAAATACACAATGCTGACCATTCCTACATATTATGTAAGTATGTACAGAGTTAGAATATTCACCAACATTTCTGAATTAAAATAATAATTATAATAATAACAATAATAAACGTCTTTATTGCCACACTTATTGTGCTACATAGGAAGAGGCGAGATTTAGCATGAGCTATTCTTCCATTTAAACTCCTGAAAGTAGATGAATATAAAGGAGAGAAAAATGTTAATACAAACCTAAGAAGTGAATGAAAGAAGTATGATACAAACATACTTAAAAGATAATTCCTAGAGCTCACTAAAACAAAATAACATATGTTTATAAATATCTCAAATACCATTAGAGTAAAAAGAAAAATGTGCTAAAGAGAGAAAAAACATATAATGAATTCAAAAATACAAACAAAATTAAAAATACATGACAATACATCAAATATACATGCATGCGTCGTCATAATCTATTTGATCACCAAAACTATTTCTCTACTTACAAATACTTCAGCTAAAAAGTAGTAGAAGAAATGAAGCTGCAAAGCGCACTGTGACCTTCACCTTGAGAAGATAATTGACATTGAAGGGGCAAGTCCTATTGATTAACAACGGACATGAGATTTTGTGTTTGAGTAAGAGCAAAAGTCTTCTAACAATGCTGTTATGATTTTATGTGATTGATAATAAAAACCGTGAGTTATAACTCCAAAATTCGACCTGTCAGCATTTCACGTTTCTAATATCTACATATAACTCGTAGATACTTACACCAACAATTAACCTCAATTGTACAAACGTATTTAACACTGTTTGATAGATGCTTCAAAAATTTCTGAAATATTTACAGGAAGTAAACTTCATGTAGGTATTACACAATATAATGTGCTATCAATTCAAATTTGACCAATTTCAAAATTCAGCAACCACAGTTGAATTAAATTCATTTACATAGAAGACATCGACGACGACATTATCTGTGGTTGGGAGTTTTGAAATTTAGAATTCTTAAAACCTTCATGTTGAAGTTTGCCAAGTTTACCACATACGGGAAAATTACCTAGATACAAAACTTCAGGTCACTCAACAATTTATTTCATTTAGTTCTTGTATCAATAAAAACATATTCAATTGGTTTATAAAACAGAAAAGAATCCCTATAATAAAAATATTTTGAGAAGTTTGAATTAATTCCAGTATGTAATTTCGCTTCTGGATTATTTTTTAAAACTATTTCAAAGAGAATAATTCTATATTAATTACGAGATTTGTATTATCCTGATTGACTGGAATTATAAGCGTAAAATATAAAATAAAAATGTGAAATATGTTATTAAAAAGAAAGTTGAAAAAACTGTGATGTATTCATTCTTAGAACGTCCTCAAAATGCTGAAAGCAACAAGTGAATTTCAGAATAACAAATTTTACTCAGAATCAGTAAATTACTTAGTGAATATATAGGAAATTTTGTCGTATGACGATTTTCGAAAAATCCTTCTGGTGTAGATACCTGACTAATGAAATTTGCGACTGTAGTTATATCATTATTTTTCGTTTCGATTAACAACACTATTCTCAGGAAATTCATCTTGATAATATATTGTCAATTTATACAAATATATTTGTTGTAGAATTTATTGACATGTAAATATTATTACCATTCATTTAGTTTCGTTATATGAATATTTTTTGAGAAGTTTAGAAAATTTATTATAATTATATCTGAATTCCATATATAAAAAAGTAATGAAGGTGAAATAATCAACATTTTCTTATCGCCATAACAGTGACGAATTCTCAATAAAATTTATCTTGATATTGTTAATTTATACCGACATAATTAGTGTGAATTATACTGGTATAAGAATATTATTTCTGTCCATTTTCGATTATCCAATTCAGCAAAGTGAATATTGTTTAGAAGTTGAACAAATTGATTTCATTACGAAATTTCATATATAAAAAAAAGAAGATGAAATAATAATCAACAATTTTTGATTACATAATTAGGTATATCTTATATGTTTCAAAGTTCCTTACATCGATACTAGTACGTTTCTACAGATTATTTTTTGTTCACTTGAACTCTGACTTTTGTTGCGATTTCAATTTGAGATAATTACCATAATTTTCAGTAGATGATTCTATGATTTTAACCGTTTAGAGCTATATTCTTGAGATGTACAATCGAATTAAAAACTTGGCAATTTTTGCGAGTTGCTATTGAATACGTATTTAAATGGTAGGTATGCAAAAAAGGTATTGAAAAAAATTGTTTACGGAAATTACATAAATTGCAAACATAAGTAAAAGTACAGAATTTGTGTTTCAAATATCAAAAATATTAGTTTGATATGCTGGTTAATTCTGATCGGTGTTTGAATTTCACGAATTTCAGAGTGAAATAAAATGGTTCACATGATTACGCTGTTTTCTGATATTGAAAATATGCGACAACCATCTTTTCTAATTCAGGATATTCCGATTTTAGTACAAATTGCTGAAATTCAGTAATCGTCGTTGACTTACATTCTAATTGTAGAGATTGATCTACATGCATCTCCTTTAATTACAATTCTCCTGAAGAATTTGGTTCATAATTACATATATTCAAATTTATTTTAAAACTTCTTCAATTCCCGTATAGCTTGTTTATAACCCTCCTAGTTGAGTTTCTCTTGTTTAATATTGGAACTAATGTTATTATTATACTATTTCATTACCTATAGGTATGAGATATATGAATAAAATAGGTATGTGTAGGTATATACATACATGTACGTGTGTAAACACATATGTACATAAAACTTGTGCTTCAATGAAACGCAATGAAACTATAATAACTAACTTATCCATCAAGTGAGGCAACGACTTCAATATTCTCTAACAATATCCCTTAAAGAATGGTTTAGGCATAACACCGTACATAGCCAGCTCAACTATGATAGTAGATCAACTAGTTTAGTATTTTATACTAAAATGGTTGCAATAAATGTTTTTAATGCAAAAATTCCATATGTTATCGTAGAATATAAATAGATTTATAGAATGTTATAAGTAGAAAAGTAAATTAATTAAGTAATCCTTATTTGTGAAATTGGTGTGATGGTGTGAAAACAAACCCTCTTTGCACCAATTCAACATTACAGTTCTATATATGGAGAGATAATTTTACTAGGTAGTTCAAACTGTGCACCAAAAAATGTTGAAGCAAAATATAACTAATAATTCTGAGAGCATATAAAAATGAAAAGGAATAATATTTTTATGAATGTTGCTTCGTTTCAAATATTACATAGATATCCACAAATATATATGTCATAAGAAGAGGTATAAAAATGAATAATAATGAAATGTTTGCTCTTGTTTTTAAATCGGAAATTTAGATGAAATACGGCCTTTGAGATGGAGCTGATGCCTATACTCAACCGTTTTTCATCAGTTTGAAAATTGTTTTATAATCAATATTCAGCATTTTCAAACCTATGAAAATGCTTTTTCAGCAGACATGAACTATTTCCATAGGTTATTGATATGAATACGTTATAGTTATTATACCGTTAATCCCTTTGACTATTGTTTCTTATTTATTTGATTAATTTAATCTTTTATATATGTTTTTAAAAGATTGATAATTGATAATCTGATTCAAAAAATGTATTATATTGATATTTAGCTATATCTTGTACCCATGGAACAAGGAAATATGTGCGAAATACCTGAATAACAAAACGTTAATATTTCCTCTTTGAACTTACCTGACTTGAGAACAGAGAGTCGATAGGAAATTATGATGTGTACTCATTGAATTGAAAAACTATTCGAATACGAATTGTTCACAACAACAAATAAAATGTGAGTTGTCGCTATTGATTCATTTTCCATTCATTTTTCTTCTCTAAAATAAATTATTTACTTTTTACAATGGACCCGGAAACATTAATGAGTAAATGTTTCGTATTTTTCCAATTTGAATGGATGCGTCATTCAAATATAATTTTTCATAATAAAACAATTGTTAAACTGATTTACACATATATTAAAAAGAATACTGCATGATGTACGTTCCGATGAGAGTCGCCTTTTTCAAATGCTACGATTGCTAACAATTGTTTTATTATGTTTATCGATTTACATCAAGTATCGGCCTCATCAATTTTTATAATTTTTCCTTCAAATAAAATTTCTAAACCGGTCTCCGTGGCTTAGTCGGGAAAACAACCGACTATGGTGCGGTCAAACTCGGGTTCGAGTCCCGGTGAAGGCATGGGTGTTTCTCTATGATTTAAAGTAGTTTAAAGATGATATATGCTCAGTAATGTACATTAGTTACAAGCCCAATTACCGTTCGGAACTGGCGTTAAACTGTAGGTCCACTGAATTAAAATTAATTATTCCCTCAAATGAAATTTCTATAAAGATTCTTGCTCTAACATGACGTTAGACACGGGGAAAAAGTAAGATATTCTCACTGTTCAAATTAGGAATTAAAACAAGTAGGATAATTAGATATTATCCAAAAGATAGAACATTAATGAGGAGTGGCTATCCTAATTCTGCGACAAAACAACAACAATAAAAAAATTGTAAACAAACCTCCGAAATAAATTTTCAACATGGGCCAAACAATGTGTCCTTAATTGATTTCAATGAAGAGGTGACTGGACACGTAATTCCTCCTACACAAATTACGAACCAAAAGGCATAATTCCTAAACCGAGCTAATTGAGATTGAATTACCATGTTAGTTTGGTGCTACTACTTCTAGTTTCGGTATGGTGTTCTATAGAATATTATGGATATTTTTTTGGTACTTTCGCAATGGGACATTGGCTCATACCGACTATTTTTGCCGAAACTTGGTACCACAACCAACCATACTCATTGACCAGGTAAAAACCATTATTCTTAAACTTTAGACCAACGCCAAATGTTCAGTTATTCGTTTCTAATGAAAAAGGTGGAAATTTTCTTAACATATTCCAGAAATGTTGCACGTATTCAATATTTTATACACTAAATTTATGAAGTGCATATCATAATTGCAATCATAATATCAATATTTCGATATTACATGTATTGTAAATGTGTTACGTGTGAAAATAAATACTGATGAGAATTTTAACACGAAGTATAGAAGGCAAACTTCCATTTTTCTCGAATTCCTCACGAATGACCAGCATTAAAATATGAGGGATAGAGGTACAAAAAAAGTTATTCATAATAATCTTTATGTAACCTTTGAGTAAATTAATTATAAAATCATCGGAGTCTTTGCAAAATTTTGATATTTTGACAGATAAAAACGTAAAAGAAACGTTGAAAATTGTCTAGAAAGATATATTTTCAGAGAACATATATCAACATAGGTAGTTGAAATGAAAGAAAAAAAGTCTTGAATTAGTGGATTAATAAAGCTTTTCCTCTAACTCTGACAGTTGTCGTTTCTACCTTATTTTCAAACAAAATTAAAAAAAAAATAATTGCGAAATGAAATTTCATTTTAAAATTTAAATATTACAAAATTAAATGTATGACTATGACTCGTGTATGTGTCTTTCAAGTAATCACACAGAGGAATGTTGTGCCACTTCAAATAAACTTCATTTTTAGCTGTCCTTCGTACAATTCTATAATTACTTAATTATTTTGTATTTGGAGATATCGTCTTTACCTTACTGAGGTTCATATTATCAGTTAATTTCTCGTATAAATATCATACAAGTACAAAAATATCGCAAGTAAAGAATGTAGCTACCTGGAAAGATAGTTCTAAAAATGAGGAAGCGAGAAAATGAACAAATCATAAAACTTTTTCGAAAAGGCTACGAAAAATCCGTAGAGTTGTTACCTTTTTTTGGTAGTAATTATCTCTCGATATTCTCCTACATATTAAAAAACAAAAAAAACATTTGGGGGAGGTATCCAATAATTATTATGGATTGTCTTTAAACTATAATCATATAGAATTAACTATAATCAATATAAAACATTTTTGAACATCAACATACTCGAGATTTATGTTCATGAATAAACGAGGTTTGAGGAATAATTGAACCAATCAGTCCAAATTCAAATATGCCAACTTTATTGGTATTTTAAAACATTTTCATTTATAGTACTGTTTCTTATACTTGGCTGAAAATATATTAATCACAAGAAGCATTATACTTCAAATTACATACCATTATGTTTGAAACGGAACTAAATGTTTGCCCAAAAAGCTAATTAGGGCAAACAACAGAGCATGAAAAAGCGTTTTTGTGACATTAATATCAATGTACAACCAGCAAACCGACTGTACCATAATGTTAAAGGTACCCCATAGTTTAATTGTACCATGTTTTCAACTGTGAACTCGTATTTATTAATTTATTATTAACAAAATAGACAAAAACAATTGCGATTTTTTCATATTTTTATTTGTAACTTTGTAAATAATTAAACAATCTGGGTAGTATCAATACAAAAATTGTAGACAATTAAATTACGAAAAAAATGAGCCGTCAAATTCGAAAAAATAGGGGCGGAGAAAACTCGTGAAAACCGGAAAATTTTACATTTTACAAATAAACTAATAACTCCGTTAATTTTCAACTTACAAATCTGGGACTTTGTACACAGCTAGTACTATTAATAATCTTTAAATGTGTGAAGATTAGAAGAAGTGGCATAAAAATTGTCGTCGCTATTGCAATTTCAATTATTTAATACCGATTAATTGTAAAACAGCTGTATGCTCGTGAGGTGTTCCGATGTTAATTATGGAAAATAATTTTGAATATTCACCGAAAATATTCACCCTTCCTTTTCTCCCCACCACTTCGCTACTTTCCAGCGTTCGGCCGCTTGGAGTCATGTTTGCGCCCAATTTTCGTGAATTTCCCAACATTTTATCGAAAAACCAAGATATACACGTTTTTGCGCTTTTCGTGAATTTTCAAAATCATTTTTTATAATTAACATCGGAACACCTCACGAGCATACAGCTATTTTACAATTAATCGGTAATAAATAATTGAAATTGCAATAGCGACGACAATTTTTATGCCACGGCTTCCACTCTTTGCACATTTAAAGATTATTAATAGTACTAGTTGTGTACCAAGTCCCAGATCCCTAAGTTGAAAATTAACGGAGTTATTAGTTTATTTGTAAAATGTAAAATTTTCCGGTTTTCACGAGTTTTCTCCGCTCCTATTTTTTCGAAAAAGTCGCTTGACGGCTCATTTTTTCGTAATTTAATTGTCTACAACTTTTGTATTGATACTACCCAGATTGTTTAATTATTTACAAAGTTACAAATAAAAATATGAAAAAATCGCGATTTTTCGGTCTATTTTGTTAATAATAAATTAATAAATGCGATTTCGTAGTCGAAAACATGGTAAAATTAAACTATGGGGTACCTTTAACATGATGGCAGCAGTCGGTTTGCTGGTTGTATGAATGTCACAACAAATTACCTATTGCTTGGCCTAAATAGAATTTAAGACGAGCCAATAGGCTGTCTGTGTAGAGGAGAAAGAAGCGACGTCCTCTATAATATTTGAAATTCAACGAAGATGCAGAGAGAAGATTCAAAAGCCTCCTAATATTAATAATGGTATTCTTCAAATAGAATGAACGCAACTAGAAGTACCGCAAATTAAAAGCGCACCTGCATTAAACTTTATTTTCACAATATTAAATTTTAAAGATCAAAGAAGACATGGAAGGCATAATAAATGTTATTTCAGTTTCATGTCACTAAGTCATACTTAAAATTGTTGCTCGAGAGTAAATGCACCTATTTTCGTCTTGGATAGATAATATATGAATAAATGCAGTTTATCTTCAGATATAACATATTATTTACATGTTTATAATTACATTCAGTTAGCATCGATATGATGAAAATTATGATGGTCTCAAAAGTTTCCGTTCCAAATTTCGGAATTTCTTCTTTAAAAAAATAAGTATATATTTTTTATAACCGTAAATTGAGTTTCAGATTATCGTCTAAAATTATTATGTGATTATAATCATGAAATTTGGTATGGTAGGTATATATTCCCATATTTCTTAATAATTAAATTCTTCACTTTATTATGTCATCATTATTATCGAAGTTGATAACAGCGCTTTGAAGTGTTCCAAGGTTACTGCTTGGTGAATAACATTCAGAAAAAGGTTATCTGTGCGCTATTGATATACGAGTATGTTTATTTGTTCGAAGATTTTCAGACTTGTCCTTTAGTCAATCAATAAGTTAATCTTCACCTGCTTTCAGAATAATGTCAAAAACAACATGAATATAAATGGTTCTTGGAAAATATGAAGTTGTATGAATTTTATCAATTTGTTTTTCACTTGTTAATAGAATTCTGAAAATCTGTGATATTTGAAATTGCCTAAGATAATTTCACTGAAATGCTTTACTTATTTTATTAACAAGAACATGTTCGTATGTTTTTTCAACAGAATAGTGAAATTTTCCATTTAATCATTTAGTCATAATGATTAATATAAATTTCATGAACTCTATCAGCAAATTGGGAGGCACGCACTATGACCTTCGATAACATATACATCGAATATCAAAGAGATAAAATTATTTTAAAGTGATAATAAATATGGTTTTTTCAAATTAGATATTCAATTGAAAATTTAAAAATATTTCCAACCTCAATGAAATAGGTTAACAGTATATCAACTGTGTATTTATAATTATCAAAAAAATCTTACGTCAGTATTAGACTAAATAATTTGTATATTCCTATTATAATTGAAGGGGTCTATGAAACTCATTTGCTCAAACGCATGTTAGTGAATTTGTACAAGAGTTCAATTAAATTCTTGAAAATTTTGAAATTATAATTTTTGCCATTAATACCATATTGAATATCGAATTACAGACATCAGAAGTTTTACTTGAGAATTTCAAAGAGTATAATAAAACTATTTGTTCAAATTCTTGATGTTTTATTGTTAATATTAGTAGGTTATATTACGACATACATATTTCGAATTTATAATGTAATGACAAAAAGACAAATATATTATGAATGTAGCTGGTCAATATAGCCATTATATTTCATTAAAATGAATTTCTGAAATTGCTTTCTCAAGTGGAAAGTCTTGGTGAAGAAATTCTTTAATTTTCTTAACCTTCAATATTTCTTAAACTCTTTGGAAACATACATTTTTCACACCAACATACGAGGTCTATTCAAAAGAAAAGGTGAATTTTGAATTTTCGCGGCCTGTGCACATTCGATTATCGAA